GTATTTTCTTACAGATATGGGCTTTGAAATTCCAGATTAATTTGTGGTTGGATATGCTCTTGACTGTAATGAATAGTTCAGAGATCTAAATGTAAGTACTTGCGCATTCCTCCACTGCCAGGTATCAGGTACCTACCTACCACAGGTACCCAGCAAGGATATTTGCTTCTACTCAGAGCTTCTCAACAATTAAAAAACCTTCAATTTCTTTTAGAAACTTCCATTAGAAGAACAAAACCATTTTTAAGGTGCCGAGTTGGTAATGCAATGTAGGTGCATAAAAAATGTTTGTGCTTCACCTTTTTATAATTCTGCTCCAGAAGTCTCATGGCTCAGCCATGCTGCAGGACATTCTGAACCTCCAGGATGGTGAGCAGCATACAATCTGCAGCTCCATCTGAAAATAAAATAACCTGTAATCTGACTTTAATTGGATATTTGTCTGTCTTAATTCAACTCTATGTTGCTGTTCTGTCATCGAGTCTTTTAAAGCAGACTTGCAGGGCCTCTGTGTGAAGGTTTTCCATACACTTAAGGATAACGTCTGTACGATATCTCTTCCTTTACTCCATTATAGCTTCCTTAAGATGCACAGAGTAGTAGATTTGGAAACATCATAAACCAATAGGGCTGATCTTTTTTTCACACCTTTGTTTTCAAAAGTACTTTTTTAATTCTGGTTAACTCGAAAGGTTTTTACTTAAAAGTCTTTTTACTAAGACAGACCCGTTCTGCTGAAGACACAATCTGTGCTACTGCTCAGCAGCATGAACAACTATGCATTAATTCAACAAACATAAATTCTCTATAACATATAAACCTATGTATTTAAGATAAACTTGGAAAGAATATTAAAATCACAAGTTTACTGCAAGTAGGAAACTTCCAACAATTATGGTTCCAGTGTATTTTTATTACAATACTGGAGTACAACTGAAAATCAGTCTTGCATTTCATTTGAAGATAGAGGTTGGTAAATATTGTACTTCGGCGTTTTTTTGGTTTGGTTGGGTTTTTTGTTTGGGTTTTTTTAGCACATCTGTATTCTGAAGGAGAATGCCAAAGTGAAGTACAGGATGTGATGGATGTGATAAAGTCATTCTTCTGGAGCACTAATTCCTGGCTGCTGATTAGGTGATAAACCATTACACCGGGAAATTACTTCTACTGGTGTGTCCCTAAGAAGAACAAGAAGCTAAATGTAAGTGCCCAGGAGCTGCAGTTCGCTGGTTCCCAGGTGTGCCACGCACGGAACACACACGGGGCAGACGCTGTTTTTTTCCCCTTGGAAGGAGCAGCAGGAGCCGGGTGCGGGGCTCCGGCGATACCGAGCGGTGCCGCCGGCCCGGCGAGTTCCGGGCCCCGCAGCGGATTCCTCCGGCTCCGCCCGGGGAACGAGGGGATCGAGGGGGAACGAGCGGGGACCGAGGCGCGCCCGGCACCACCGGCCCGGCCCGGCTCGGTTCAATCCCTGGCTCGGATCGGTTCAATCCCCGGCCCGGCTCGGTTCAATCCCCGGCCCGGTTCAATCCCGGTTCGGTTCAATCCCGGCTCGGTTCAATCCCCGGCCCGGTTCAATCCCTGTTCGGTTCAATCCCCGGCTCGGTTCAATCCCGGTTCGGTTCCATCCCCGGCCCGGCTCGGTTCAATCCCCGGCCC